GTAGGAACTGGAAATCCATGCCTGACGCCATTTGAAATCCAAGATGGCGGAATCCGGTTCATGAAAAACTGGAAAATACTGTCAATACCCCACAATATGGGTGTTTTTGAAATCAGGGTGACGTGTAGGAACTGGAATTCTATGTCTGACGCCATTTTTAAATTCAAGATGGTGGCATCCGGTTCATGAAAAACTGGAAAATACTTTCAATACCCCCACCATATGGGTATTTTTGGAATCGGAGTGACGTGAAGGGATCGGAAATCCAAGCCAATGCCATGCCATTTTCCAGTTTTTCATGAACCGGATGCCGTCATCTTGGATTTCAAAATGGCGTCAGATATCTGGTTCCTTCATGGCACTCCGATTCCAAAAATACGCATATAGCGGGGTATTGACAGTATTTTCCAGTTTTTCATGAACCACATGTCACCATCTTGGATTTCAAAAAATGGCGTCAGACATAGAATTTCAGTTCCTACACGTCACCCTGATTTCAAAAACACCCATATTGTGGGATATTGACAGTATTTTCCAGTTTTTCATAAACCGGATGCTGCCATCTTGGATTTCAAATGGCGTCAGGCATGGATTTCCAGTTTCTACACGTCACCCTCATTCCAAAAATACCCATTCTGTGGGGTATTGAAAGTATTTTCCAGTTCTAAATGAACCGGATGCCACCATCTTCAATTTAAAAATAGCATCAGTCATGGATTTCCGGTTCCTACATGTCACTTCGATTTCAAAAATATCCATATTGTGGAGTTTTTTAGAGAATTTCCAATTTTTTTTTAAAAGTTACCGGGACCTGCCATCTTGGCTTTCAAAATGGCGTCAAACATCGATTTCCGGTCCCTACACGTCACTCCGATTCCAAAAATACCCATATTGTGGGGTATTGAAAGTAATTTCCAGTTTTTTATGAACCAGATGCTGCCATCTTGGATTGAAAAATGGCTTCCGACATGGATTTCCGGTTCCTACATGTCCCTCCGATTTCAAAGATATCCATATTGCGGGGTATTTCACAGTTTTTCGAAGATTCCCAAAATCGCAAAACAACTCGTTATTTGGAATTTACTTCGTAAAAAGAAAACTCGTTATTTTGGATTTACTTCGTAAAAAGAGGGACGTAAATTGAATACTGTGTAAAAAACAAACACTTCGTAAACGAAGGTTTCAGTGTACCCAATACTAGCCTAGAACTACTGCTGTTTAAAATGTAAAATCAAACATTACTGATTTTTGGCTCCGCAAAGTGTCACCCACGACCGAGCCTAGTAAATAAACGGACTAGTTAAAAAAAGCTGAAGATATTTTAACAACAGAGAAATGTCGAGATCTCGAGGATAAAGTATCATTACAGACTATGGACTTCAAAAAATCATCAAGACTATAGAATTTGGAAAATTATTTTTGAACCGTTTTTAAAATTTGAGAATTAAGGATTGGTTTCAATTAAAAATAAGTCTCCAAGTTAAAGTCCAAGTTAAAGTTAAAACCTCTAAATGAACGAAAAAAAGATCCTGCATTTGGAAGCAATTGATGAATGGATGAATCTGTAAGAAAATAGTTAAATTTTCAGATTGAACCAAGTTTTCAGAATTCTAGGTACAAGTTTAGTATTGAACATAACATAACATAATATAAAAAATAAAGGGAGAGGTTAACATCGCAAGCGGATTTTTAAAAATATTCAAGATCCTAGACATAAGGACCTCCTAAATTCCAATTTTGGGATTCAGAAAATGTAGGGACCTTTACTTGGACACATTTTGTAGATCGTGGACGGATCAAAACATTTCAAAATCCTTCCAGTTTAAAAAATCGTTAAACTGTTGTTAATTATCATTAATTATTTAGGACAAAATAGACATACTAGTACAAAACAAGTTAAGGACGTAATTGAATTCCTTGATATTTCGAAGCTTGCAAATACTCATTTCAGCTAAAACAATGTTTTTCTAAATTATGAAATAGTTAGATGCCATGATCAAATTTTGAATTGGTAGGATACAAGAAAAGGTTGCAAAGAATGTGTTTGACATATTAAACCTGTTTATTTCACTTCATGAGAGTCACAATCAGCGATTTTTCACAAACACACTCACTCACTCAGCGATCAGAAAATCGCTGATTGTGACACATAGAAAGCAAAATTTACACGTTTTATGATTCAAACGCATACTTTGTAACCTCTTCTTATAAGTTACAAGTAAAACATGCCATCATATTTACCATCTTTTGGTTTTATTATTCCGAAAAACATTATTTTAGCTGAAATGAGTATTTGCAACCAGAGGTGGCAACAGTACATTTTTTGAAAAACCATCGTCCAGAGCGAAACAAAACAGCCAGCACACGGGCGACCGTCTATAACTACATTCCAAGCGAACAGCGGAGATAGAGAATAAATAAAATCTCGCAGCCTGATTTTTCCAAACAGTTTATTGTAATGAAATTTCAGCTGCAGGCTTGCGTGTGACAGTAAATTACCAACTCCCTTATTTACGCATAATTTTAACATTTATGCTTATGAGTGGTCAGTCTTCATTCTTATCTTTTAATTCCATGCAATAAACATCAAATAAATGCAGTAATTAGCCAGAAATCAGCAAAATTCTACACGACATAAATTTATGTCGCGCGCGCCGCCGGTCTTGTCTGCTTCTTTGTGCGAAAATGTTCTGTCGCTGGCAGAAAACAGTTTAGAAATGTCATGACATTTTTGCCGCTTGCCAGTTTGTTTTTGTGTGTCGTCACAATGGTTATCGCAAAATGTATCAAATGTTAAGGAAAAAATGTTAAACTCCAGGACTCGTGCCACCACTGTTTGCAACCTTGGTTATTTCCCGGTTTTTGTTGGTTGTTCTGATTTCCTGGTTCATTTCCGATTCTCCAGGTTTTCTCGGTTCAGTGGCTACTATTTAGACTGATGAAAAATTTTATTTTTTCGCTCCACAGTGCTTAAATGATTTCAAATCGGGTCCTGATTAGCCTCCCAAAGTTACAACTCACTTGGTTAGAAACAGACTTCGCACAAGCCGTTTCAAGTTTACATGTAAATTACTATGGGAAATCTCAACTTTTTGTTCATTGCCTTCTAGTATTTTGCCATATTGAGCTGCGAAACAGTTTGATAGCCATTCTTATAGAAAATTTTCAACGTTGCTGAAGATCGTTTCTATGTAAAACGAGACAGGAAAAAGTTATTAATTATTTAAGAGATTGGTAAACTAATGACATGATCAAGCAGCTGCTCTGTAGGCAACACTGTATTTTGCAGTGTGACATGGTAGCCATGATTTTTGTGTCCTATTCAACGCCCCAGAAACACCAATGTTGCCTGCTGAGCAGTTGATTGAGCATGATCATAAGACATCAGCGCATTGAACCTTTGATAGCTTTCGATCCTTTCATTTAATCAAAAAGTAATCTAGAGCAAAGGTGTAGCTGGGAAAATTTCCTACAAGTAAAGTTGAAAGCTTTTGAAGCAGACCGATATGGTGAATTATTAGATAGACATGAACAAAAATCTTGGTTTTAGCATAGTAATTCCCATACAAACTTCAAATGGCTTGTGCCATCTCAGTTTTTCACCAAATGGGTTCAAATTTTGAGAGGTTAGTCAGGATCCGATTTGGAATCGTTTTAGTATTGTGGAGCGAAAATTTCAAATTTTGCATCACTCTAGTGGCTACCCTGTTGGACAAAATGATCAAAAGTTGAATTTGAAATAACGGTTGGTTAGAAATTTTACATTGGGATTACAGCTTCTACAGATGCTCGGTAACGTTTGTTTGTGAATACATCCGATTCTTCATTTGCATGGTCAAAATTTATCAATTTTACTGATCTGTGCTGAACTTAAAAATATTCTATGTAGACCATAACCTTCTTTGATGAGATTCAGATCTTTTGAAACTAGTTGCATTTAATGTTGGTGTCATTTGAATGCTGTGTCAAGAAAGAATCGGGTGTAGGTTTTGTTCATACTCCAAGGAAAACATTTTAACATATAAGCTAAAGCAGTGAACAAAAAGTTTACCTGGTCGCATGTCATGGCGGAAGCAATTAATGGATAGAAATTATTTTATCCCTCACACAGATATGTGAATGAGTGCAGGACTGCTGTACATCGATAATTGAGGTGATATTTTGTAAACCCCAGACATAAGACAAGCTAGTTTGCTGCAACAGCTTTGTACGTGGTTTTTTCCTCTGTTCGGGACCACTGCGACCAGTAATTCGATCTTTTGTAGTATAGCCCGTGTCCTTAGTTTACTGTAAGTCGTATTACTCCATCACTTTTTAGAAATGATGAAGTATTCGATTTTGATACAGTTGTCATTCTTGCCTTTATCGCATGGAGTCGATTCGAATTTAAAGGTCCCGCTATTTATACCCTTCGAAGAATGAGAGCACCCTCCAAAAGCACGCCCCTTTGTCAGTCATAATTGGATTCCTTAGCAACAAAATCAAGAAATGACACCGATAATGGCCATGCTAGAACTCTAGCCTTAACCACTTCAAACAAGGGAACAACGAATAGAAGATCAGGAGTCACATAGATGAGACTAACTCATTTTTTCATGTTTCAAGATCAACCTCAGTCCAAGCAACCCGTGGACTTATCACTTTTAACAAGGTATACAAAGTAACAAGGACTAAGATGTGTTCCTTTGATTACTGGAAAATCCTGTTCCTCTAGTTTGAAGTAGTCAGGACTAGGAATCTATGGTAGATTTTACATCCCGTAACGTACCACGAAAAGGTAATCTACCCACGTTACGGGGCACGTGCCTAAAGCCATACTGCTGATTGGTGCAGAACGAATTGAAAAGCACTTCTATCATAAAATCTCCAATCCATTTGGATTCTCCAAATCATATCGTCATAATGAAAAATCAATCACCCTTAAACCCGCATTCAACCCACCACTAGAGAAAGCAACCGACCAAAGCAATAAATAGCCAACAAACGGAGTGTCTACTTACGTGTAAATTGACTTTTAATGTTGTTCGGATTGAACTCTGGTTCCTCGCCGTTGGGTCCCTCGTCCACGAAGATGATGTTGACGATGTCGTTTCCGATGTGCCGTTTGCGTTCCACCTATATATGTATAGTAGGGTTTGTATTAGTATAGTTGTCAGCAGTGATACCGTACAGCATAAATCCAATTGTCACAGTCACCGGAAAATAAGATAACGCCACGCAACGTGTATTAGCGCGAGTGGCAGTTTTGCACCATCATGAAACGAGAATGGGAACATCTATCGATGTAACAAAAGGTGTATTTGTGTGAAGCACGTGTGCTAATGAACTGGCGGTGCAAGCTGACTCGGCCGGATGGGGATGTGGGTAGGTTTTCCAACTGATGAAACAAATCGTTGACAAAATAGGGACTGGGGTAAGGTACCGGGTAAGGGGCTGCGCTTATTTGCCAAGAGAATGGAAAAAAGTGGTACAAACGAATTACATACCTCCGGATTTATTCGTGATTAGGGCGTACATGATTTTGTAAACAAATAGACCAATCACCGATTTCTCGCAGATAAAAGCTTAATCTCGCAAACAAATTATATTAAATGGTAGAGGAATCATTCATCTACTTGATGGTGTTTTAAGTTTCCGAGATTGAGCTTTTCATTCGTAAGAAATAGTCGATTGTTTACAAAAGCGTGTACGCCCCAATCACGAATCAGTCCGGATCTAACTCACCTGCTGCCGATTGTCGCGACTGAATGGTAAAAGCGTTGATACGTGGAACATAATCTCGTGGCCTTCGTACAGAGTGTAGATTGAATATTTTCCTGTCATGTCACCTGGGGGGAGAAGAACAGAATCAGATTAATGTGATTCGATTTATTCGCATTAGAATTGGCTAATTAGGTTAAGTCAGCATTTAAACATTACACTGATTTAACTTCAGTAATTAATTCAAAACAAATTTCCTGAAATCCTTCCGATCGCCTTATGGTAAGTAAGACTTAAATTACACTGGATTTACGTACCTTTCACGTCCAAACCACCACGATACCGTTCCCATTCCTTGAGCCGCACCTTCTCTCCTAGCAGTGCCAAGAAATCGTCAAAATCAGCGCTTCCATATTCTGCGAATCAAAGACAGAGAGGGTGGAAGAGCGAAAAATTGGAAATTGATTAGTGTTTCATCGATTCCAGTAGACCAGTTTTTCCTGCTCAAACTCGACACTTTGCCGAAAATATCAGTAGCAGACGGTGAGTTACGTCAGCTTCTCCAATATGCGAATTTGGATGGATCCCCCTCTTCCATGCGGATCAGCTTGATTGAACTTTCACGCCATACTTTTTTTTTTCATTTTTATGAGCGATGCAGGTTAAATTTAAAGGCACCTCAGCAGGCATTTTTAATTCGGTTATTTGAGCCTCCGCACGTTACTTACCATTGCTCAGCATCTCGTCGTCCATCTTTTGGCCTGCCTTCATGTAGACGACACCAAACTTGAAGTTCACCGAACCCTCCTGCTCCTCCAGCAGTAGCAAATCCTTCTGGATGTCAGCCGAAAAAACCTCCTTGGGTGATTTGCTTGCATCCATAAGCGAAAAATTCGAGAGAATTTGCTTGACCGTTAGCTTCTGCTGGGGGTTGTACGGTAAGGCAAGCTTCTGAGCACCCTGGTTCGTTAAATGTCGGAAAAAGACAGAGTGAAACATAGAAAAAAATAAGTATATTATATTTAATCAGCATGGGGGCTGCCTTGGTAATGCAAATATATTGTGCTCCATTTATTACGTGGGAGAATCGCCCGGGAAGCAGATTAGTAATCCGAAATAATTTTAGTCGGCATGGTTAGTATGATTCGGTACTGAGTTAAACGAATACAACGCAGGCAAACTGTGCATTGAGACGTTTCTCGATTATGGTGATCAACTATATCCAACCGGAAAATGCAAGATTCTATTAAATATTTGCTTAAAGGTATACACAATTTGTAATGTTTCACCGCGATAAAATATTCTGTAATGTGGTCGTCGAAAGGTTTTTCAAGCCATTTTGTAATTTTAATGATAGCTAAATTTTAGAAAAAAAAAGTTTGTTTTCCCGAGTGTGTTGTGGCTAAAAAACCATCTAGTGACGGTTTTATATGAATATATTTATTTTTTTTTAATCCTGCTTGTACAGTGGATGTTTGTTTATAATCGAAAAAGAGGGCGATGTCAAAAAATTCGGGTGGATATTTTTCCCAAAAAAATAAAAATAGATAAAGTGGTGGGATTTTTCCGGTCATCGCGAACTTTGAAAACTCATAACTCGTGAACCGAGTATTGAAGAAAGAATGTTGTGTAGTAAAATGATGAGTAAACAATCCCAGTAATCCATAAAAAAATATATCCCGAGAAATGGTTTCCAATTAAATTTTCACGAAGGAGGATAATCGGGTAATTTTACATTTCTTATGACTTCATACCTAAAAATTTCTTATCTTTCACTAGTTAACATATCAGAGTGATGTATCTTATAAATTCATACTTTTTTAATCATATCTCAAATATGATTAAACAGCTCAGTTGGTTCAACTTCTCTGATTTTACTGAAATTATCATACTTTGAGAAACCATAACTCATGAACCAAGAGTATCGTTAAAATAAACATAAAAACAATTTTTATTACCCTGTTGATAGATTTTTCCTGATTTTCCGTACGATTTTTCTCCACCGTATTCGTGGAAAATATTTTTCAGATTATAGATTTAATGGATTGTTGAGATAATGTCATTATCATTTCATTATAAAACGTTCTTTCTGTAATGCTTGGTTCATGAGTCTTGACTTTTCAAAATACGTGATTTCCGGGAAAATTTTAAAACTTCATCTTAAATTTTCCATGCAATTCAAAACAACCCAACTTTTTTGATTTTTTTTTCGTGAAACTCCATCTGTGGGTATTTTTTTAAAATCAGAGACTCTGAGACTAAACCTGTCCGATATTTAAAAAAATCCCCTACAATCAATTGTAAGAACTGTCATTACATTTGATCTTAGAACCATATAATCTACATTAATCTGGACACCTTCAAATCACTTAAATCGCTTTTTCGAATGATAGCTGCAACCGGATGATGGATGTTTTGAAATCAGATTATTTTCCTCTAGAATACAAGATGAAAATTGTTATGCGAAGGGATACGGCCTTCAGTTGAAATGCGTAATGCTCTCTGCAGAATAACTGTCATAACAAATGGAAATGCATATGGTTTTGGTTCAGCCACATAACGCAAACCATTCAAAACGATTGCTGATCTTAGCTGACAAACGATGGGGAAGCATAGCCATCGCTATCAGATCTTCCTATTTATGGCACAAACCTGTTGGTCCATATTAACTATCAGAGCTATTACGAACATCCTGTATTTGGTTGACAGTCATATGAATATTCATCATCTGACGATGAATTCAACCATAAGAAAATCATCCGAAATTCGAATGCATATTGTTAAAGGCTCGAGCTATGCAATAATCATTCGAAGTATTGTTGATGTTTTGGTTCAGTGTAACTGGTGTTGCTAGATCGCTGCTCCTCTCTCAATTTCCGCTGCAGCTGACATAATCTGCGTAACTCCTTTGTCGACGACATCGAGGACGACATTCCAAGTACCCTCCTCTCGACACATTTCGATTTCATCGACAACATTCTCCACTGCGTGTCCGAACCAGTGTCTGATTTTATCGTTTACCATCACAAGCAAGGAGTAGCGCTTCAACCCAGTGTAGATGCATTGCGTTTGTTTTGAAAATCTTCACTGTTACGTACGAGCGAAATGAACAAATGAGTTCATTATACATCAACGAATAGCGGCGCCGGTGGTTTAGTGATAAGCGTGATTACCTCTCACCCCAGCAGGCCTGGGTTTAATCCTAGTCGGCGCCGCCGGGATGTTCTGAGGCATAACATCTCTGATTACGAAGGGAAGTAAGGCCATTGGTCCCCAGTTCATGAGTTGATGTAGGGTCGATAGCTGCCTCCCTGGCATCAGTAGCATTGGAGCTCAGCACGGAAGACAAGATCGACAGAAAACAAATCAAGGAAAAAAAAACGAATTAGCATTTGTTGATATTCACCAGTGCTTGATTATCCAACCCAAAATTGTCAAAATCAGAAGCGATCCTCAAAAGCAAAATAATCAAATTCATTTTGAGCAAAATGATAATTTTGAATATTGTCGACCCCAGAGCGTTAAACCGAAATATTAACATCAATTCAGCATGAAGCAATAATTTGACATCGATCTGTGTGAAAAAACCAACACGACACGTTCTTTAGCGCTATATTTGTGACAAATGAAAATAATCATTTCGCATTTGATCCTCAAAATCATCCACACCAAGATGAAGACGAATATTAATACTGATAACACACAAACATCAAAGCCACGCATAAAAAAAAAATAAAAAAAAAAAATTGACTTCGATACTCAGAGGTTGCCTTGATCAAGAGAATGCTGTTATGTCAAAATTAATATTCATGCAGGTAGTTGATCTATCTGTTAAGGTTGTCTTCATTTTCAGCTTAGTTGAGTTTAGCACACGGCGAATGAGAACGACCCAATAAAATCACTGAATAACTGTTCAAAAGACAGTTTTAACGAGTGAAATGCAGTGTCTTTTAAATTCTGTAAGTGTTGCTGAACGTTTGATATGTCTAGGCATCGAATTGAAAACATTTATTCCTTTATAATATAATGAATTTTGTGAAGCACAAGTCAAGAAATGTGGTGTTCTTATTTCAACCGCGTTTCTAGTATTATATCTATGAAAGCCACTTCCTCTTTCAATTCGATCACACAAATATCGAGGCAGTAAACCGTTCACTACTTTAAAAATGAAAACCATAGTCAAATATACAATTCTTTGCTTCACCGACAACCATTGTAAGGCATCTAGCATCAAAGTTGAGGAAGTGAATCTATTACATCTCAAAATCAAACGCATTATTTTAATCTGCAAGCGCTGTAATCTCGATATTCGTGTTGCATTGGCCAGACATAAAATGGAAAGCCAAAAGTCAAGATGAGGAGAGATGATTGATTTGTATAGCTGTATTTTACTGGCAATAGTTAAATCGTTTTTCAGTCGATATAGAATTCCATACTTCTTGGCAATTTTCTTGATGACATTGTCAATGTGAGACTTGAACTTAAGTTTGTCATCAATAATCACGCTAAGATATTTAATCTCTCGAACGCGATCAATAGTCTCATCATCAATTACAACAGAGACGTTCTCATTTACTCGATTCCGTGAAATTACCATAAATTTAGTTTTACTTGCATTTAATTTTAACTGCTTATACTTCAACCATCTACTTAGAAAACACAAATATTCATTCAAGAGTAAAACGGCATCATCTAAATCCTTAGCTGCAATGAATAACACAGTATCTGCAAAAATATTAATGTTGCAAAATCGTAAAACACGTCGCAAGTCATTAATATTCATAATAAATAACAGGGGCCCTAATACACTTCCTTGGGGCACTCCAAGGATATTCCCCACGGGACTGGAAACAGAATAATTAAAAACAGTCCGTTGAGTTCTGTCAAACAAATAGCTTTTAAACCACTTATATGCAGTATTCGTAATTCAAAAGCGCTTGATTGATCTTAACAATAAGGGCCTAGAAATTATTTCAAAAGCGCATTTAAGGTCCAAAAAAAACAGCAACAATCGTATCTTTACACTCCAAGTTATTTTTCCACTTCGCTAATACCAAATTCAATGCGGTTTGACAAGAATGACCTTCCCGATATCCCAATTGTTCTGGTATCAACAAACTATTACTATTTAAATATTCCAACAGCTGGCCTTTAACAACAAGTTCTAAAAGTTTCTCTAATGTGTGCAACATGTTGATGGGACGAAACTCTTCGGCTTTAATCGATCCAGCAACTTTTTAAATGGGGACCACTAAGGATTCTTTCCAAATTTGTGGCACATGTCCAGTTTGTAATGATTCATTAATAAGGTCCAGCAAGATGTGGCCAATGAAATGAAAGCAATCTTGAATAACTCTAAAATTAACATTATCTACTACAACCGATTTTCCTAATGAAAAACAAATAACTCTAAGTTCATCTAATGTAATTTGGTGAAAAACTTCGAATCTACAACTACTATTAACTGGCTGTTTTATTTCGTCAGGTTCATCGACAAATTCAATGGATTGATTAATCAATGAAACACTGTCTACAAAATAAAAGAAATTCTATAGCGTAGAAATATAGTGGTCCTGAAAAGGGCCATTTGGGATCCAAGATATTTACATGCTGGTACTTTCAGGATGGCGTTCTTACACCATTGCACAGTGGTTGAAATTTTGCAGATGATCAATGTTGTAGTCAGCCTAACGGAACGACTGCAGTGGTACGCCCGAAAGATGGTGAAGCTACTCAGAGAGCCTCCGATGTCCGCGTCCTTCAGGATCCTACCAAATTTGTGGTGACCATCTCCGTCGCAATTGAAACTACCATTTCGGATCGAAACGAGCAAACTGGTGTACTTGGGTTTCTCCAGAGACAGCGTGCCCAGTTGGCTTTCCTGGCAGCAGCATTACGCTGGTGATCATTGTAGTCAAACTCAGCTGTGTAACGTTACAAGGATTTCGTTGCCGTTGGTAATGCTTCTCATTCCGATGTCCACGTCCAATTTCTGGGTCTTTCAAATTAGTTGTGATGACTGTCCTCGCAGCTAATGGAATTGCAACTGATCACGTTCACTTTTTATTTTATTTATTTATTTTGGTGGGATTTTAACCCTGAAGGTCATTCATCCATTCATAAGTTCATTAGAAAAAAACAACAATCAAGATAAAAAAGGATGCATAAATACCATCCGATCTTATCAAAATAATTAAAATAAAAACTGATCGTATAAAAATCCTGCCGAATTTCCAAAATTATAAAATAGTTCTCATGAAGTGGTCTAGTTTTAGGTGCCATATAAAATTTGATGTGAAATGTACGTGAAAACATCCAAAAACTTGAGTCCACCCACGGAAAACAACGATTTTACTAATTATTCCTATACATTAAGAAAAAAAATACATTCTTCAGATCGATAATTAAGCTTACCAAGATTTTTGTTTGTCATGATTTTTGCATCCTAAATATTTTCTCATAGCTAAATTAACTAAAATAAAGATATATCCAAAGAAATAGAGATTGAAAATCGAAGATTGAAAAAAAAACAAACAAATTAATTCTAATATGCCGGAAGCATAAAAGTTGATTTTCGTGGGCCATTTGTGAAAAAGTAATTTTGCTTTCAAGAAATCCATTACAAATTCATGAGGTTTTGAAATGGCTTTTACGAAGAAAACTTGTAGACTGAATTATATTTATCTAAAGCCATTTCGCTTGATCCTAACCCGTTCAGATTTATGGCAGCATTTATGGCGGCAATGTTGCCTACAAAATGTTAAACGTCAAAGTTTGTTTATCTTTCGATAGTTGCGCTGTGCGATTCAGCGTTCTTCCAGGCGATTCTCTCCCGATGGCTTGGAATCAGTTACTCAGAAAGTGTTCAGAACATTTCGCATTTCGCACAGCTGTAACCTCGATCATTCCCGAAAAGATCCCCTTCTTCCGGATGGTTCTGGAAGTGCACCATCAAACGATGCAGGAATGTACGGTTGAATTAATGTTTCCCAAGTGATGACCCTTTCGCCGAACAAAATCGCAGCTATGGATCGGAAACCAACTAGTGTCTGCTAACTGACAGTTTCAGTGGTTTGCTGTCGGTACTGACGCAAGTTATTCCGATCTTCATCTATTCGCAAGGTCTGAAGAAGGCTGGTCTGTTTTCAGGCTGTTTTGACAATGTTTTATGAATTTGAGGACCACGCTCACTTCACTCTTCTCCACGAGATGCTCAGTCGTTGATGGTACCCGTTCCGCCGGACGTGCTGTTTCTTCTAAAGAACTATGAGGATCCATCCTTAAAGTTCAATTTGTAAACAGAGGAGATTTTATGATACACTTTACAAAAGCCTAAAAGGCAACAATATATGCCTTTTACTCTTATTTAAAACCTAATGGTTTTATGATAGCTTTGATAATGATATAACGGGTTTATAGAGTATTTTATCAAGACATAAATAAATAAATTGCTAATGAAGTTTATGATTGATTTATAGAACAGTTTTATGGTGGGATTGAGAACTACTTTAAATTTAATTTTAAAACAAGACAGTTTTTGGCTCCTCGCCAGACTGTAAAAGTTTTTAAAACAGCGAAAAGGTGAACTACTAAGCAGGAACGTTTTACACTGTGAAATGCTGTATTTAAACTAAATGGATTATTAATTGCCATTATAAAACCATCATAAATCAGCGTGGATGCCAAATGATTGCAGAATTGTTACTTGGGTAGTACGCTTCAGTTAATTGCAAGAATTGCCATTACATTTGTTGTATGAAACATATGCATTGGATGTGAGAGAAGTTTGTTGTGCGCATTAAATAGGTATAATAGGTGATGAACTCATTGTTCAAAGTTGTTTTTCATATGGATTCCTGTTTTCTTTTCTCTACAAATAACAAATATTGGAGATTGAGCCCAACCTCATTGTGTTCATGGAAAGCGACAGTCAATTCATCAACTCATTAATATTATCATAGCCTGACCCAACGAAGGTAGGTTCGGTCATCATGTAGCCATGTAGCAAACCCGTACGATAGCTGCGGAGTTTATTTTCTCACGAACGAAAAGCAAACTTCCCTCCCACCATCGCTGTCACCATCCTCAACATTACCCAACAGTGCGGAGCGGTAGCGTAACGTCACACGAGGGGATCATTCGGAGCCGTAATGAAACGTTTGTATATTTAGAGTTCAGTGGCGGAAACTGAGCATTTCCACATTCCAGATGACTTAATTGCTTCCGCGGACTTTTGCAAAAGGCCGTAGCTTTACGAGCGATTAAACCCTATTTGACGGCAACTGGAAAATGAGGTTTAAATTCGGTGTGCGTCGTACGTACCTGCTTCCGGAAAACCATGACCCTGTACAGGGGCATACATTTGCTACCGGAGTCCTGGGAGACTATGGATAAAAAGTACGGGTTTTTCTCGGAATCTATTCCTACGTAGTTCTGGTGAACTGGTGGTGAGGGTGGTGGCGGTGGGGTTTGGTGGTTTCCCATTTCAGCGAGGTAATTGCCGTCGGTTGAGGTTCATGTCACAAAACAGAGTGATATTTTTAGCATGAAACGGGATAGAAAGAAATCAGCATTATTTCCATGGAAACTTCCAATGATTGCGACAGAAAGACAATGGAGTCGTTTCGTCAGATACTTACGTTTTCCTAGAAAATACTTGAAATACCATCTCGTTTGATGCTCCGGGTTCTCCAAGATGGGTGTGCTAGGTGACCCAAACACCTGCGTGTTGGTTCGTCGTTTGTTTGAATGTATGGAAATAGAATAAGTGAAATTTAAACTCTGCGTTAGTGAATTTGCGGGAAGGCTCCGTCGTGCGAAATAATTATTCGCTTTGAATCGGCTTATTGTTCATTTACAAACGTAAATGCAGAAAAGCAAGCTCGAGTAAAACCCCAGTGTACGTCGAAACGATTCCGTAACCAGCGCAGGTGCTATTTTATCGCTTAACTGGGAGTCATCTAAAGCATAAGTAATTTGCTTTCAGCAGAGACCGGCTGCAAGCAACATCCTTTATGCTAGCTCAACACAATATAGTTTTCCAGCAGGGGCACTGGCCACGCAATTATATACGTGGGTGTTGGGGAATTAGGGAATGTTAAATGACGGGCGGATTTTGGGTCTTGTTTATTTAAGGGATTTGATTCGGCGTAAGTGTAAACAGTGGGAAGATTGAAACATCACAAAAAATGGATAAAAATTCAATTGAAAGCTCTTTTTGAAAACTGTATCATTTTTAAATGAGCTTGACATATTTATACTAATTTCAGTCTGATCTGAAATGTCTAGAATTTGGACAGCATTCAAACAGACATTTACACAGTGCCGTAGAAATCAGCCCGGTGTTACGCGGCAGCTCCCAATTAATATCAATCTGACACCCAGCAATAAACCTACGGCAATGAAAGTCAATCCTTACCTCATCCTTTTCCGCTAGCGATTCACCATTCTCCAGTCGAAACCGCCGACAGTTCGGGTCCAGCCCGTCAATTTCTGATTGTGGCAGCTGCAAACGAAAGAGAAAAGACTCCATCAGAACAATGACCACTATTATTATCCTCTGGTATTTATTGCATAATGGAGAAATCAAGCCAACAAGAACAAGACTGAAGCGGCAATTATGGCGTAGATCATCGTTAAGTCTTGAATGTCGCAATAATGTCGCCGTCGTCGGCGTTGTCCTCAGTGGAAAAGGAAAAGATAAGCACTCCCTAGATAATGATGCCATCCGGAGTCAACATAACATGGAAGGTAATGCCACTACCACTAGCTTTTACTGGAGGCAAAATGTGAATAATTAAAAAACATTGTCGTAATGGTGTGTCTCGTCTGCCTTTAGTTTGTATGTGGACTACCGCAAAGTAAAAGTCTTCTTTTATGAAGCACTTGTTATTTCGCCTCCAAGTTGGTCCTTTGGCACACAAAAGCCACCATCAACTTGACTCTGTTATTGTCCTTCCGTTAATTTTATGGTTCATGTGATAATTTGTATGCTCGGAAAATCTCGCTCCCCCAAAACCATGCGTCACCATTGTAGTAGCAGCAGGTACCGAAGCTGCTGCTGAAAATGGTAGAAATTAAGTCCTCCCTCTCACCCACATCATCACATAATCCGCATGGCAAGCAAACGTGACCTCGATGAATTTCAAATCACTGCTTGAGATTGCTGCTGCTGCTCATCTGCACTTGAGCTTGCCTTTCTTCTTTCTGCGGTGGAGATCAACAGAGCAAACTTGTTGAAGATTTTCTCGAAGATATAAAATATTTGCCTCCTGGCTCCACACCTTCCGAGGCTGCAGCTGCTCTCCTATTGTTCAAAAAGGAGGGTGAGCCCCGTGGGAGGGCATTTCAATATTGCATTCAAGTTCTCGTTAAAGGAGACGGGAATAAGTTATGTAGCCATATTTGTAAAGTTACAAGAGCTGGAAACTTTACACGGATCGGAACGCTCATATCAATTGTTCGGGAAAATTTAATGGAATATGGAATAGTTGACATGTATGTTATCGATTGGGGTAAGCTAGTGGCAGGGTTGGTGAGGTGGATCTTAATCGACCGACACCACCTCATCTTAGGGTAACCAACTTGAATTGGACCCCTACATATTTTGGACCCTTTTCATATATTTTCCTCGCTTACTGTCTAGTTTCTTCAAATTCATCTGGGTTGATGTTGTAATTACATTCTTTCAATTACTTGCTATGTCTCAAGATCATTAGTTCACCTCAAATTGCTTACAATTGCTCAATTTATGCAGTTTTAGAAAATGTTATCGAAAAAGTTTCATGTTTCGACGTTTGTCAAGAGGAATCGGCGTTAGTGTACTTGTTTTAAATTTGGTCTAAAATATACAATTCAATGATTTTTTTTATCAAATCAGTTTATCTGACTTTGGAAGATGTATTTCACGTGTTTATAAAGATTTCACCTTAAAATTTTACTTAAAAAGTATTAAATAAAAAGTGTCCAAAAAAGATCTAAAAAAATGTAACCAACTTATTTTGGACACTTATCAAATGAGAATCATCAAAAGAGCGACAAAAAAAATTCCGGTTGGTCGATCGTGCTATTATCTCAGATTTCTGATTAAATTGGTAAGTAAATCAATCAAAATTATATGAATTCATTGTTTTTAAATATATTTCTTGTTTATCAGGCGATTCAAAATGGGAAAAACGGCAAAACACGTAGAGAGGTCCACTCTGAGTTTTCCTAGTTTTCCTAGTTCCTAGTTTTCCACAAAAGTTTTCCTATCTCCCAAACGCATTTAACTAAGGGGCTGTTCATAAACTACGTAGACGCTTTAGGGGGGTGGGAGCATACAATTTTTTAAATTTTGTGTTTGAGACTGTCTTCTACGGAAGGGGGGTGGGGGGGTTGAAATCTCTCAAAAACCGTCTACGTAGTTTATGAACAGCCCATACAAAAAAATAATATGGACTGCAAGCATAGAGTCAGGTCTCCGTATTAAGATTTACTTCTGAATGATTTTTTTTTATGGTATGATCAGTTGTTTCCTTATGTTATATTATATTTCCTCCGTTACTAGCGCCAACTTTTGTAACACGAGTACTCACGCGTTGTACTTTGTACAACAGTGTGAGTTTTCCATTTCCATTTTGCAGCCGAGCTACCAATCGATCTGAAATCAACGAGTATTCCTCAAAAAACTTGCTTTTAACTAAACAAGCTAAATATTTATTACAGTTAACCCCCAAAATATGCGGATAATAAAGAAAACGTAAATGGAAACCGCGTAAATGGTGTCCATACTACGAGGGTTCTGATTTAATTGGTTACAACATAGAATATCTCGAGATCCTGACCAGATAGAAAGTTACTGTCTTTCCAAAGTAGTTCTAGAGATCATAACCTTTTTGCTGGTGGACAGTAGTTCAAAATTTACTCACTACATAGCGCTAGTATACATGTGAAGTTCTCGCATGTGATATATCTCGAAATCCTGACCAGATAGAAAGTTACTGTCTTCGAAAAAGTTGTTCAGGAGTTCAAAGCCTATAGTTTAGAATTTTTTCACTATATGGTGCTAGTATATACGTGAAATTCTCATATAAAATATCTCGAAATCCTGATCATATAAAAAGTTACTGTCTTCGGCAAAGTTGTTCAGGAAGTCAAGGCCTTTTTGCTGGTGGACTTAAGTTCAGAGTTTTCTCACTTTGCAACGCTAGTATGCATGAGGAATTCTCGCATATAAAATATCTTTAGATCCTGACCAGACAGAAAGTTACTGTCTTTGGCAAAGTTGTTCAGGATGTTAGGATCTTTTCGTTGGTGTACAGTAATTCATAATTTTCCCTTTATGTGGCACTAGTATGCGGGTCATTCAGAGATATTTTATATGCCAGGATTTCACGTGTCTTTCAACGTCACCTAGTGAGAAAATTATGTACATTCCACCAACGATAGGGTTTGATCTCCTGGACAACTTTACCGATTACAGTACATTTTTAGCAGGTCTTGAGATATATCATATGCGAAAATTGCACGTATATACTAGTACCATGAAGTGAAATATTCTGAACTACCGTCCACTAGCCAAAAGGCCTTGATCCCCTGAACAACTTTGCCCAAGACAATAACATTCTATCTTGTCATGCTCTCTAGATATTTTATATGAGAGAATTTAACGTGTATACTAGAACTACATAGTGAGAAAATTCTGAACTATTCTACACCAAGCAATAGGCTTTGACCTCCTGAACAATTTTTTCAAAGAGAGTAACTTTCTATTTGGTCAGGATCTCGAGATATATCATATGCGAGAAGTGTATATGTATACAAACGCCACGTGGTGAGAAAATTCTGAACTACTGTCTACCAGTCGAAAAGTCTTGACCCCCTGAACAAGTTTGCCCAATACAGTAACTTTCTAGCTGGTCAAGAACTCGAGCTATTGTATATGCGAGAATTACACGTATATACTAGCGCCTCGTAGTGTGAAATTTCTGAACTACTCCACCAACGAAAAGAGCTTGACTTCCTGAACAACTTTGCTGAAGGCATTTACTTTCTATCTGGTCAGGATCTAGAGATATTTTATACACGAGAATTTCACATGTGTACTAGCACCACGAAGTGAGATAATTCTGAACTATTGTACACTAAGAAATAGGCTTTGACCTCCTGAACAACTTTGCCGAAGACAGTAACTTTCTATCTGGTCAGGATCTCGAGATATTCCATGTTGTAACCAATTAAGTCAATCCCACGTAGTACGGACACCGTTTACACGGTTTCCATTTACATTTTCTCTATTATCTGCATGTTGGGGGTTAATTGTAATCAAAGTTTAGCTTTTTTAGTTCAAAACAAGTTTTTTGAGGAATACAAGTTGGTTTCAGATCAATTGGCAGCAACAAAATGGCAATGGAAAACTCATATGTGTTGTACAAAGTACAACAGCGCGAGTAACGGGGGGTTAACTTTTATGCATACCGTAAAACGGAGTGTAATTGATCAGCGGGGCAAAATTGATCGCTGAAATTTCTCGTGATATTTTTTCATGTGTAACATGTTTTTCGTTACTAAGCGTACGAATGTATCTTTGTATACATTGTGAAAATATTATGCATAATACAATATTGGGTATACTCAGCGATCAATTTCACCCCGTTTTACGGCACCTTCTTTGAAAATTTTCCCACCTAGACGGACCTAACAAATGCGAGATAGGAAGAAGTGACCGTCGTAATTAATTTTAGGCTCATAGGTTGAAAGAACTTCAGCATGTCCAAAATATATTCGTTCCCATTCAGTGTGTCCAAAATATATTATGGACACTGTCCAAAATCAAGTGGAAGGGTCCAAAATATGTGAATATCATGATGTGAAAAGAATTATTTTTCGAGTATATATCAATAAATAAAACATCTAGTGACATTTTACATCCAAGATGAGTAGCTTTCGAACACAACCGCATGTAAATTGCATAATGATAATAAACAAATAACAACTTAGAGCATAGGGCTTGAACAAATGATCAGATTTACAATCGGAAAATTGCGCTTTGAAGGATACTATTTTTTGTATGGCTTATACCATATTTGTTAATTGTTAGTTACTATTTTTTAAGCAAGGTCAAAGTGAGAAAAAAAAGGGGTAAAAAAAGCACTAAATTTTCAAATGTCCATAATTTGGTCAATTTTTGTCGGATTTCGTTCTAGTTAGGTATAAGCCATAGGGAATATTATCAACTTTATCCACAATAAAAAAAAATTTCATTTCAGTTCACCACCAGAGGGTGTGCACTCGAAGTTCTGCAGCAAAACCTGACTGACACTCCTCCACGCGAGCCGCCATTTTGAGCCGCCATTTTGTTTTTTTACCTTCAAAAAATTTCCAAGTATTCAGGAATAGTGGACAAATATAATTATCCAAACCGGAAGTTCGTATGTCTTTTCATTCTCCTGAAAAAAAAATTCCAAAGTTCAACTGTTTTTCAGCCAAATCCAAGTAAACCTCCCCTTAATGCAAGAATATACC